TAGAGTCTTTATAGCCTCCACCCTCTCTCTCGTTCTGCGTTTAATCGCCTGTCATACATATATTTACCGACGGAAGATAAATGGTTTGAGAGGTCCGAGAGGGCTCGACGATTCACACGATCGCCCATATATTTGACGCACCATTCAAAGAATAACAAACAAATCGAGGATCGCATAACCAGCTACTAAGAGATCCACGTTATACAACCGTGATTCGAATATGATGGACCGTTTTAACGGAAATCGCTTCTTCTAAAACACGCGCTAAAGAAATCTCGAGTTGTTTTGTTTCGTTCCATCCCAGTACGGCGGGACGAGGTGAGCGCGCGCGCGCGCGCGTTCGGCCGCGCGCTTCGAGGAAAATCTTGCGTCCTTTTCATTTTCTTTTTATGCTTTTTTTTGGAGGGGGAATCGAGGATAACGAGCGCTTGAATGAATCTCGGGTATGATCGCTCGTGTAACCACGGCGCGTGTTACCCTGGGAGCAGTCGATTTTTTCTGTTAAACCATGCCTCCTCTTTTTGAACGCCGTTAAAAGTGCACATCGCATAACGACCTCGGGATCTCGCGCACAGGCCGCTGAGTGACCAGCTTCTTTTATCTCTGCGGTTCGCCTAAACCGAATTGTTGTTGACTCTGCGCTTGTTGTTGCGCGTTTCCAGTCACGCTACACCGTCCGCCGTGATGCTGCGCTGCGGTACCCATTTGCATCGAGTTTTGATGTAGCCCGTTTTGACTCGGCGACATTCCTGCAATGAAACAACCATGCCTTTTGTTTAATCGCTCTCATTAGACTCGTAGCCTACGGTTGGTAAAAACGAATCATGCGGTCGGTCACGGTGGAAATTCTATAGGGTATATTGCGGGAAATGCTGTTCTGTTACCAGTGCAGGGTAACTTGGCCGAAAACGAGTTACCAATCTTTTCATTGATCCTTTGTTTTATTATTAACACTAGAACTACCGATCACTTAAACTGACTTTTACAAATTTCTTTAGAAAAACCATAAGCGTGCGTTTACTGAGATTTCAATTGGATTGTATTTTAGTTTTGCTATTACTGAATTAGTTTCGTTAATAATTTTTCGTAGAAGTATTTGTACCTTTTCAGTGACGGTAAAAGAAGGAATCAGAAATAAGTCGTTTTAAGCCATCTGGTAGTTCTAGTGTTAAGCGGAATTAAATAAATATAAAAATTATTCATTTTTTTTTTAAATTGAAATGACATACTATGATTAACCCTTTGAGTACTGAATATTCCCAGCCGAAACGTTCTGTGTGGAAGGAATATATTTTCGCTTAGCTTGCTGTCTGAAGATCGATGACTCTGTTAATTAATGTAAGGTGTAATTAAATTGTAATTGTAATTCCTCAGTTTCGTCGAATTGAATAATGTTAAGAAAGGTGTATACTCATCTCGTACACTTATAATTGTCATCGTGGCACGGGTGAGATTAAAAAGATCGAAAAACATATATGCGTCCTTAGCACTCAATGGGTTAATTATCATGTTGTACATGTTTATTTTACAAAATAAATGAAGCGTTAGAACGATTATAGATTTCGTTTCTTTTGTTGGAAAATCATTAATGATAAAGTAGTTTCGAATTAACACAGTCGCTAAAGAAATTATAATAAGAAATGTTTAATTGTGAGACAATTATTAAAACGAAATTGATATAATCTGTACTTATAAAAGTTATTAAGGAATTACAGACGAAAGAAAAAAGACAATAACGATATTATATGTTAAATCGTTTTTACTCTCAAACTCGTACAAAAAACTTATACAGCATGCTATACAGTAAAATGAAAATTTAACTTAAAAGTTGCTTCGGTACTTTGTAGGATAGCCATTCTTATCTGTAACTTTCTGTAATCGTTGCGGCATCGATCGAACTAACTTTTCCAAGAAACTTGCTTGAATGTTTTTCCACATTGCCCACGTAGTGTTTCATTTAGTTGCTTTCTCATGCTTATTGATTTATCTTTTCATTTCTAATTATTATCTTTTTTTTTTATTTCTGTTTAAAATTCCAATAATATCTCCACCTGGTACTATTATCAAAAATATTAGTGACAACGATATACAGTGATGTGAATAATAAGCTCAAACGTATTTCATATGTTTTCTTCCTTATTTCCAAGAAACCACTAAGTACGTTTTAGTACATTTATGACGAGGTAGTACGAACTTTTGTGTACAAACAGTTTTTTGCTATCTCTTTTTCGTGTAGCTTAGCAGCTAAATGTTTCAAAACAAGGAGATTCGGGCGGTGAATATTTATAAATTCAGTTACTGTTCGTACCTTATTCAGAAGGTGTTTTTTGAAATCTGCCTAGTGAGATAATATTACAGCAAGTCTCTAAAAGCATTTTGTTCAAGATTTGTCAAACGGTTTCCATTTGAAGAATTATGGGAAATGTCAAAGACAAATTACGAGTATAATTAATAGATCGCAAAAGTTTAGTTAAAAATTTCTTGAAACTGGTACTGAAAATTACAGGAAAAACAAAGGATCGGGACGACCTTCACGATTTTCGTCAACTGTAAAAAGTACAGTTTTAACCGTTTTAACCGAGTGCCAAGCGGCGCGATCGCGCTTCTCCGTTACACTGTCTAAAAGTGCCACTCTATCGGTTCGTAGAATCAAATCAACTTTATTTATTTGTCTTCCTTTTAATTATTTATTTTTATTTTTGTTATTACCTGCTTAGAAATGGAAAAACGGGACGATCTCGTGGTTTACAATTTTTTCATGTAAAAATAGAAAAGCGTAATTCAGTTCCTGAACTGAAACGAAAGAAGCGCGATCGCACCCCGCTTGGCACTTTTTGAATGCAAATTAAATATTACTCTTCTGTTATCAATCATACTTTGAAGCAGAGACTGATATAGAATATGCCTATAATTTTGTTTTTTTCCTTAACACTTTACCGACCGGCCGCTCAGCCACAGATTCACCTTGGCGCCGGCTCTGTTTCGGTTTAAACGCACACCCCCATTCGCTTTGTCTTCCTTACCCTTGCACCCTTCTCACTCGCATCTTTCGTCCATAGTTAAAATTCACGCAGTCACGTACACGCTTTTCTCACGGCTCAGTCACTCAAGATTCTCAGACTAAGCGTCAATTATAAAAAGCCGATTAATAGGCTATCGGTCGGTAAAGTGTTAACATATCATTAATGACAAAGTAGCTGTGTCGATCGTAGCGGAGAAGTAAATCGTAGGGCAAGGGGTTAAGGGAGACATCAAAAACTGGAACTTCTCCGTCTAAAATCGTAAGTCGATTTAACTTGAAATGTGATTCCAGTCTTGTAAGAAAGTGGGTTGCACATATTGGAAGGTTTAAATATCAGAAATGTTTTTAAAAACCAACATTACAAAAGCCTCATACTGATGATAGACTAAAATTTGCCGAAAAATTCATTTAAAAAAGAAGCATGTGGCAATATGTGATCTGTAGTGACGAAAAGAAATTTAAACTCGATGGGCCTGATGGGTATAATTATTATTGGCACGATTTGAGGAAAGGAAGAAGGGTCACGATGTCGCGGAGAGCGCGACATTTCCTTTAGAAAGAATGTTTAAAGTGAATAAGCTTTTATAAATGATATATTGAATGCTACTGGTTATCAACAGATATTACACGATTATTTGCTGCCTTTTATAACATTAACAGAAGACGATAAAACGATTTTCTAGCAAGATAATGCGTCCATTCATACAACATCTTCTACAAATAAGTAGTTTCAAGAGTTCGGAATCAAGTTATTACAATGGCCAGCATTAAACCCTGATTTTAACCCCATCGAAAACCTGTTGAGTATTCTTGCGAGGAAAGTTTATGATCAGGAGAACCCACCAATAGAAAATATTATTGAACTTAAAAAAAAATAAAGTCTGTGTGGGCAGATATTCCAAATGAAATCTTAAATAAGTTATTTGATAGTGTTCCTAAATATACGAAAATATACTAAATACTAAATGAAAAAATATTAAAATTAATTAGTGTATTTATTCACAGTTTAAACCACAATTTTAAGAACAAATGCCAAGTTTTCCAGATTTCCGAGGAAGAAAATTTTTATTTTTTGTTTGCACACTTTTGTTTTGTATTAGAGTATAAAAATGCATAAACGGTTTCGACAATTTTTGTTTCAGTATTATGAAAAACATAAAAATATGGTTAAACTACCTTACAGATCAGTTTCCAAAAAGTTCAGACTAGATTCAGAAAAATTCGAAGATCGAAATACGTAGAGGTGTTCTTATATTACCTGCATTATTCTGTTTTAACTATTCAAGTAAATAACATTACCAGATAATGAATCTTTGCGTCAAAGTAGTGCTACAAATTTTAATTAGATTGTGCAATGTTAAAGCTTCTTTTCGTATTTAAATAACCAGAGTGATTTGAATGTCTAACAAGGGAATTATACGTGTATCCGCTTTCGGTCTTAACACTATGTTTACCAAAAGGTATTTTAATAAAACCAATTGAATTACTTAATATAATCTAGTAAATAATAATAAATAGTTTACTATAATATAATACAAAACATATACCGGTAAATTAATTTTATAATCATTGTAGCATAAATCGAAAAATCATTTGAGAAAAAATGATTAAACTTAAAAAATAATTTAACATAAAATTTTAAAAGCTTTCTGGATATTTTCTGTTAAAATAGTGTCTACCTAGCAGTTTCGTGTTTGGACGCAGAAATATTAAATGTCGTTTAACAATTCCAGAGACATAAATAACCTATGTATTTTTCAGTTAGTACCATTCCTCGTCGGCACTATCATTCGTATTTTTTATTGATTATTGATCTTAGAATTATGTTTTGTACTGGCATCATTTTCTAATCAGCACTGTTTATTTATTAGTAGCATTTCTTAACAACCGCCATTTTTCAGTTGGTATCATTGGTAAATTTCTTAATAATACTTGAATTAGTATTATTTTCTAAACGTCTATGAATAATAATTCATAAAAACACGTAATATTTTACCGGCAGTAACACAGGGTCTCTGTTCCATTATCTTGTGAAAGTACGATAAGATAAGGACAATAAGACCCTTCGCGTCTCGTATTTCTGACAACACTACGATTCACAGGATGAAGGTGTTATATAAAAAAAATTACGGTTCCGGGAAAATTTAGAGTAAAGAGATATAAGTGATTTTATATACAGATCCCTGCATACGTTGACTTAATACAAATTTAACGATTTTTTACTTAACAATCTGACTAACTGTTCGAATTAATTTTTTGTTTGTATTGTTTTATAAATCAACTTTTTCTTTGTATTATTCTATCATTTGTTCTTATTCACTTCACTTTATATTATCATACAGATTACAAAATAGTAAAAAACAGTAACATAATAAAAATGTGCAAATAATTTAACGTCTTTTTTACCCGTATTGCTTAAACGTGTTACTGTTTCGTACTAAAGATACCATAAAAAACAGTTTCTCATGACACTAATTTTTTAATTTTTTAAGTTAAATATATTACATGAAAAAAGACAGAAGAATTAAAAAATTACATTAAAAATGAATTGTGGCTTGAAGCAGTGTATGAAAGGTTGAGCATATTTCGTAGTATTTTTCTAGAAGTATGTTTTTTAATTGCCGTTTCGTTTGAATATGTCGTTTTCTTATTCTTCTGCCTAATTCATTCCAACTGTGCTCCAAAGAATTTGAAACTGAAGAATATGGAGGATTTGCGTTAAAAATG